AGGCCCTCCCCCTGGGGGTCGCCAGCCGGCACTGCTTGGCCGACGGCACCCTGAGGAGACCCACTCTGTGGGAGCGTACCGGTCTGTGGGAAGGAATCTGCGGCAGAAGGCGGTCTCGGAGGTAACCGGGTCCTATGCCATGAAGCGCTTTAAAGGTGGTAACTAACACCTTAAAGCGCACCCGGAAGGCCACTGGCAGTTGGTCCATAAGTCATAAAAGAGCCAAGGTTGCCTACACCTGATCTAGTTTAACTGGAAGTGATGAAGCACTGTAAAGATGATGGATCAAAACAGATTTTGAAGTTTTTTGTAAAGACCATATTATTTTAAGAAAAAGAAAAAAAAATCAGCTGTATGCAAAGAATGAGGGAAAGTGCACAAAAATACCAGGATATTTAAGTTGTATTTCTGTTTCTTAATCAGCTTTAAAAAAAAAATCAATCTAGAGTGTAAGCTAGTAGAATGCCAGAAAGCAAAACAAAATCCCTTATTAATACTACTTTCATTTGCTTGACAATTTAATTTAGAAGAAGGAAGCATTTTAGTTTCAATGAATATTAAGCCTTTCCAGACAAAAGAGCTACTTGAAAGGCTGTGAAAACCCGACAAAGAGGTTGTCAGAGCTTTAGAACTGAAATGTGAAAAGTGCTCACTTCCTCTTCATTAAGAGCAAATTAGTTAAAAAGAGCTAATAAGCAAAAATGAAAAGGGATATTTTATTTTTATAGAAGAAGAAGAAGAAGAAGCTTAGAGTTTGACATTTGTATGAAAACATGAATTAAAAATTGCTTTTAAAAATATTTGTTGTGTTGCATTTGTGAACAGGACCAGAAAAAAGTAGGTCATGAAAATCAAATGCTCTATCCCTGATTCATGGTTTCAGCCAAATCATAAACCAGGGCCTTCCTATGTAGGAAGGATAAAAAAAAGCCAAGATGGTGATTGTGACCCATGATCAAAGCCCCAGTGATGAGTAAGGGCGAAGCTTCAGCTGTACGGTTGCAGCTGCCATCTTGACTTTTTTTTTGACCCTCCCTGCAGAACCACTTGTCATAAACCATAAACATAAAATGAGCCATGTGCGTTGCTTCTTTGCTTCCTGCTATGCTTAATAACATGGCATCCCGCCCCCTGCAAAAGAACCCTTTCAGTAATGGGTCTGAAATTTTCCCTGTTATTTATTTTAGTGACTCTTGGGAGCTTATAGGAAGCTATATTTACCCGAGCCCATCCTAGAATTTAAATGGTGAATATAATAATACTAATGAGAGTTAATATGTTTCTGGGTTTAGTGTGTTTGTACATTTTGACTGCAAATGAAAAGTACTCTGGTGATTATGGAGACTGTAGCTTTAGAGTAACTAATATCTCCATAGTAACTTAAGTTTGCATTTCATTTAATTTAGTTTTGCTATATTTACTTGATTGTATCAACTTTTAAGAGTCTTGATACATCATTAAATGAACTCCGTCAAAAATTACTGTGCACACCTCATATATGTCAATTGTTCAGTGTTTAAACTATACAAGTATCACTAATTTCAGCTAGAAAAGAAAAATTGCCCTTCTTATTCCCACCCACCTAAATTTAGTCAACATTTAATTCAGTGGTTCTTTAGAATATGAAATAATTATTTATTATTTGAATTTATTATAGCCGCCCAACTCTAATTGATAGAATATGTGCATGTATTTTAATACAAACATATTAAAAATGCTAAATAATAGATGGGCCATGCAAAAAAAAAAAGGAAGTTCTTTTGCTTTTGCTTAATGCTTCAGCAAGCTATATAATCCTATGTTTTATTTCACTTTATTTCTCTTTCCTATGCTTTCACTTAGTTCCAAGAAGTCAGGTAGCATATATTGTTGGATTTAATTTTTTCAATAAATTATTTTTTCCTGAAATATATTCTGAATATCTGCAAGCTTTAGACTTTTCCCAAACCCTCTGATATTTTCCATGTTTGCATGAATGACACCCTTGTATACAAGACATTATATTCACCTCACAGTAGAAACAGAAGTAGCAGAGGAACAGTATGTTGCAGCAAAATATGGTTTGTTCAATATTTCAGTTAGCCTGCAAGATCTTTTTTTCCAGATGTTCTAATATATTACCTCTCTTCTCCATTTTTACATTACTTGATCAATTGTCCCTGAAAATGACTAGTACTGTTATTAATAATACATTTATAAAGCCACCTAATCATAAGTAGCTCAAGGAGGCATGCGAAGAGAGTTTAAAAAATCATAATAAATGGGCCATAGGAATTTTAGAGAAAATGCTATAGGTAGTCCTTGACTTATAGCCACAATTGAGCCCAAAATTTATGTTGCTCAGAGAAATTTGTTAAGTAAGTTTTGCCCCCTTTTATGACTTTTCTTTCCCCATGTGAATCACTGCAGTTGTTAAGTTAGTAACAAGATTGTTGAGTGAATCTGACTTCCCCGTTGATTTTATTTGTCCAGAAGGTTGCAAAAAGTGATCACATGATCCTGGGACACTGCAACCGTCATAAATATGAACCAGTTTTCAAACATCTGAATGTAAATCATGTGACCATGGGGATGCTGCAATGGTCGTAAGGGTGAAAATTGGTTATCAGTCACTGTTTTGAGTGCCGTTGTAACTTCAAATGGTCACTAAATGAACTGTTGTAGGTCAAGGACTACCTGTATTCCAGAAGTGAAGAACAATGACAGAGAAGCATGCCTCCCATAGACAAAGGGACCCAGAGTATGCCAATCCTGCCTCTGGGGGTCATCAAGCAGATTTGTTATTTCCAGGGCTGTTTTTAAATTTCTTGCTATCCTTCCCCCCACCCCCCACCCCCGACCTTTAACTTTGGATAGGATATCCTGCAGATTTTATCTCTTTTTGTATTTGGAGAATTAATTAGCGGTAAAATAGATTATCAATCTTGAGAATAAAATGGAAGCTTAATGCTAATTTATAGCAAGAGCTTCTTTTATGCTTGTTTCAAAAACAATTTCCAAATAAATATTATTTCCTGCACGGCTGTAATAAAAGTTTTTTTTTCCTTTTTAGCCTGTGGCACGGCCCCCGGTACCAGCACATCAGGTTCCCCCCTACAAAGCTGTCTCAGCCAGATACCGCCCCTTCACCTTTTCTCAAAGCACTCCCATTGGTCTGGATAAAGTTGGGTGTAAGCGTCACATGAGAGCATCCAATGGTAAGTTTCATTTGGCATGAAAAAAGTAAATAAAGTCAGAATATTCAAAAGTTTTACTCTACTGTTTCTCAACACCCAAACTTTGGAATTCAGCTTCTGTAGAAATTCCTCTTAGAAATAATTGTCTTCTTCAAACATATTTTCAACTTGGATTTTTTTTTTTCTGTACCCACAGAATCACAGTTTTAGAAGTTTGTGGTATTTTAATGTTTCTATGTTTGCTTAATTGCAAGGCTCTTTCTTCTTTTATCAAGAAAATAAATATTTTAAAAATAGAATAGAGTCATGTATGCTCCGTGTGTAGTATTTTAGACTGGAGATTTGTATTCTTTTATAGATGCCACCACGTTTTCTTAAACTACGAGGTGTTCTTAAGGGAATTATAATTTAAAAGATATAGAAAGTATCAGGTTACCAATCCATGTGTGAGAGTGGGGGTGTGCCCTATATGTGCATGTTGATGCATCTCTGAACCTACATCTTTATGTGGGTGTGTGTATGCCCATATGTATACATTATGTATTATGATAACATTACTGTTCAAAATAGAAAGGATTGCTACAATATTGCTTCGGCAACTTCCTTGCTAAAATCACGTTATATTTCAGCAGGCATGCAAAATTGCTGTGCTTTAATCTGGTCTTCCCAACCTACCAGTTTCCTTATTACATTATTTTTTTGTCCTGCTGGAAATAAGCAGTCAGGACAATAATCTGTTTTAGAGCAATAACACCATACAATCAATTTGATGTACTTTCATGTTCCTGGTTTCTTATTCTTGTTTTCAGCTGCTAGTTGATGGCTTGTCTGGAGTCCTCGGTGCTGTCTGTTTGCTTGCAGACATTTCATTACCCAGCTAGACTTAGTACCAGTGAGCTCTTATTCAATAGTTTTTCTTTCCAATTTTGGCGGTTGTGTGATTTTCTCCTTGGTAGTTCCTTGATTAGGGTATTGTTTGCTGGATTGTTTGCCTGGTGCTAATCCCTGCTTATCTGGGTATTGGCTGCTGGGGAAGATGTGTTCTGGTCTTTGTTTCCTCCTTCGCTTTTTATTGTCTCTTTTGAATGTTAATTTATAAATTGGTCTATCTCTTTGTCTATTAGTAGCTGATATGCCTGAGTGCCAAGCTTCCAGGAATTCCTAGTGTTTCTGGATTTAGCTTAGTTTAGGATGGTCACAGTTTCCTATTTAAAAATATGGTTGATTCTGTCCATGTGTTGTAAAATTAAGGAGTTTTCATCTTCTGATTGGTAGTTGGTATTCATGCATGCACTCTGCTAGTCTTCTGCCTGTCTGTCCTACGTTGTGGCTGTTACAGTCCTTACACTGAATGTTATAGATGACTCCTGACTCTTCTTCTTGGAGTTGTGTCTTTTGGCTTACTAGAGACGTTCTGGAGAATTTTAGTTGGTTTCTGTGCCACAGTGATGCCATGTAGCTGTAACAGTCTGTTGGTTGTTTCTGAGATGTTTTTGATGTATGTTAGTGTTCTTTTTCATAGTATGTGTTGGTTATGCTGTAAGGCATTGAGTGGTCAGACATTTTGGATAGAGCTGCATGAGTATCTGCTTTGTTGGATATGTTCTAGAGGCAGTCAGTTTCCTTTTTGTTTTCTTATGTTGGATGGATTGTGGTCTTCACACATGTGCATACTCATGTACATGGATTCCCATGCCTGAATGTATACATGCAAACACTTTATGTACATATCACTCTGTTTTTGGGAGAAGAGATAGCAAATGCACTCTCTTTCCATGTGCAATATTTCTGAAAAATACAAAGAGCTAATTTGTAGATTGAGTGGATTTTTTTACTGGGAATGAAAAGCTATAGCACTAAGGCTTTGATACTTCTGGCAACTCAGTAGTCAATTGTGGACTTTGGGGAGACATTTAAACAGCCTATCAGGCAGCTTATTTGCAAGCCTCAGAAAGATACTGTAGTGCTTCAAGTAGTTTGGCCATCAAGAGAGTTATTTCCTGCTGGGGAAAATTGTTTCTCTTGTGTTGTAGAGCTTTATCAATAGTCTTGATAGTTAAAGTGAGTTAGTCTCCTCACTTCATTGCACTAACCATCTTTTATTTTTATCTTTCATTGATTTTATTGTCATTTCTTTGATTCAATCATTGAAGGTTAGGCAGCACACACATTTCAACAACAACAAAAACAAAAACAATAATAATAATAATATAAAAATATCAATACCAATATAACTGCAAATACTGCCTTACAACCACAACATTTATGTTGCTAAGTGAGAAATTTGTTAAGTGAGTTTGGCCCCATTTTACGACTTTTCTTGCCACATTTGTTAAATGAATCATTGCCGTTCTTAAGTTAGCAACACAGTTGTTAAGTGAATCTGGTTTCTCCATTGGCTTTGCTTGTCAGAAGGTCACAAAAGGTGATTCCCATGACCCCGGGACACTGCAACTGTCATAAATATGAACCAGTTGTCAAGCATCCAAATGTAAATCATGTGACTCTGGGGATGCTGCAATGGTCATAAGTATGAAAAATGGCCATAAGTCACCTCTTTTCAATGCCATTGTAACTTTGAATGGTCACTAAATGAACTGTTGTAAATACCTGTACCAGATTAGGGGGAGGATGGGAATACTGGTGGTGGAGAAGAAAATTTTAAGGAACCTTAAGAAGGTTGTATACTTGGTACTTTGTTTCCTAGAGACATTTTTCACTTGTTAACTTGATGTAGGTGAAATAAATATTCATTTATTTATTCAATTTGTATAGCACCCATATCAAACCAATGGGTGATAAACAATCATAAAAACTATTAAAAAGAAATGCTACTGCTTCTGGCTTACTTCTGCATGCTTCGGTGAATCTCTTAGGTCAAGACTGGAATCTAAAGATGGAATTTATTTTGTGTTAGATAGATTCCCATAACTCCCAAGAGCTATTCTGAGTTCTGCTGATATTAACCAATAGAAAGCTGTTTCCATCACAACTGGGCCATTTCTTTCAAAAGGTAGTAAAATGCCGACGCCTGCAGGCGCCAAGTGTAGAAATTGCCACATAATGCCCGACTGTTCATTTCCCATTGAGCCACTGAAGTCCAGGAAACCACATGATTTGCATGGATATTTCAAAACTACAGTATTGCCTCAAAGATCTTTTGAGTAAGAGAACAAAACGGTGGGAGAGCTGTGATCCAGGAGGGTGGGGTGTCTCACTGATAAGGCCAACAGAATTGAGCACTGAGGGGTTTTTGGTTTTTTTTTTTTTTTTTGAAAGCTCTGAGTTGCAAAGCATCAAAATACAGTACAGTTGAGTTACTTTTTTGATTAAAAAAAAAGTAGAATTTTCCATTGTTGCTAGTTTCAGAAAGGAAGTCAAATACAGCAAGATACAGGAGCTATTGCTTAATGTGTCAGATCAGCACAGTGCAGACATTAAAGAGATAAATTCTGACCTTGTATTTGTAACTACCATTGCTGTGCTGGGAAAGGACAGCTCTTCATAGATTATTTCAAGTTCCCCTGGTCAGCTTCTTGCTTTCATCAGATGTGGGAAAGTTCAGCTACATGGATACTTATAACTAATTTCTGTACACTCCCCCATATTTCTCATCTGTTTTTGCCCTTCTGATTTAGGCTGCATTGTTGCTAGGAAATGAGGCAACAGTATACAAAGCTAGTTTCTGTGCTTAAGGTTTGCACAGCTATAACATTTTGGGCCACTTATGGCTGCATCAAGAAAACCAAATGCCTACTTTTAGAAGAATAAGCAAAGCACTTGTGATTGTTGGTTTCAACTAAGATGTATTCTCTCTCCTATCATTTGGTCTCCAATTATTGTAACAGGTACCAATGGATTTTTGAAGTACTTAAGAGAAAGGTTTATCACCTCCATTTGAAGAATACTGGATGATATCTGTAAATCCTTAGAATCAATAGAAGGAAATAAGTAACAAAAAAGCAAATAAAGCCTTAATTATAAGATCTAGCTTGGCAACGCTGTCCTTAGGAATGCTTTCCTAGGATCTCTACAAGTACATACATTTTGAAAACATCCTTCAACCTTTTAAACTTCATTTGTATTTATTAAATTCCAACATAATTCAAAAATGTACTTTCTCTGTCAGGCACACTGGAATCACATATTACTAAAGAATAATATATACAGTATATTAGATTGAGTTTTTAAAAATTAAATTCTTATACTATTCTCTTGAAGATTATCCAAATAATATGCTACCTATCCATGGAAAATAAGATCCATATTGTTTAAGGTAACTTATTTATTAATGTCTATTTTCAGTCAGTGATATATTCTCCTCCTTCAATGGTACAGCTGATATTTTTTAAGAAGTAAAAATAGTCCACAAGCTACCTTCACTAAATTAAAATTCTCTGACTTTTTTAAAAAAATGTCTGTGCAGTTGTACAACTACTAAAGTTGAACTGGTTGCTTAATAAATCTATCTTGCTGCTGCACAATGATATTTAATTATTCACAGGCTGAGTAGATGTTGAAGTTGTGAGGTGGCATTCTACTTCATTAACAATTTCAAATCCTAGCAATTGGCACCATTGGTACTGAATTTTGTGATCCAGAAAAGGCATCTCACAAAGCTAATTTCCAGAGACAGCAGATCAAGACTCTAAAGGCAGATTCCACTGTATATTCAGCACATAATAATAATAATAATAACAACAATAATGATAATAATAAAAAGTTGGAAGGGACCTTGGAGGTCATCTAGTCCAACCCCCTGCTCAGGCAGGAATCCCTATACCATTTCAGACAAATGGCTGTCCAGAAGGCAAATGTTCCAGAAAAGGCAGGTTGGAAGGAGCTGAAGTCCAAAGGCTAAAGTATATTTGAAGCTGAGAAAGTATTTTTGAAACTGAGATCTAAGGTTACAGATACGATATGGGAAGGCTAGAAGCAGATAAAAATCAGGCAGTTCTGACTTTGAAACAGCACTTCGAAAAATGGACAGGGGTATCTCACAGTTATGTAATATAGTTCGAGTTTGTTTTTTAGACTATGAAGATTTTCACAGTGGTTTATGTACAGTTGATGAAAAAAACAATCCCTTGCCTGCAAGCCTATATAATTTAGAAATCATGTCACAAAAGGAAAAGAGGATGGTGAGGGAAGAGGAAAGCAGCAGGTCCAGGTCCAATTCTTCATGTTAAATAGCTGTTCTTACAGAAAGGCCAACGGGATTGGATTCAAGGAGAGAAGATAATAAAGCTGAGTTTTCAGCAGGAAGAGGGAATGGCTTTATTTATTTTTCTATCTCTCTTGTTGCTAGTAACTGACAAAAATTACTGGTTCCTAATGGCAGTTTGATGGAATTAGTCTTTTGGCAAGACTAAAGAGAAGTCGTGTGGGCTGAGGAACCAGCTCTTTTATACCCCTGGCTTAAAATAGGTTTGAACTGTGAGTCAGCTGATAAATCTTTGTGCAACTAATCCTACTGATGTAAAAGCTGTCTTAGCCCATGGAATTTAATTTACCCAACTATTTTAGTAAGCTGGTGGGCCAGCACAGCTGCTGAAATCCTGGCATCAAGAGCTGAAATGTGCAATTTTTCATTCTCCAATAATGCGATGTCTGCACATTTTGCACAAAGTGAATTATTATTATGTAAATGCTGTGGAGCCAAATGTAGTTCTTCAACATTTGAGGAAAGGAAAGTGAAGGTTTTTGTTTTATATTTTTTAAAAAAAAGATGGATATGAATGCCCAGTGAAAGTCTAATTCAGAATAATAATAACAACAACAACAACAACAATAGTAATAGTTCCTTGGGTGGAATCCCCAAACATCTGGAGCACCACTTGAATTTGATCGGCATTTACAAAAATCACCCTTGGTCAATTGCAAAAGGCAGCTTTACTTAGAATAGATTACATCTTGTAACCTGTTCAAACAGCATCTGGCTATCCGTGGTCCTTGGAAAGAACTTGATAGGTGGATAAAAATGCCAGATCTAGTATAAACATCTGGCTGACTGTTTGACCAACCATAATAATAATAAATCAGTGCATTGGTTACAATAAGGAAAGAATTGGCCCATTATATGGATGAATGCTGCATGTGCACTATTTGTCTGTATATCTTTGTTTCTTTCATAACTTCCTAAGGATTTCCCATGATGTCACTGAGGGCACTAAACCCACAGCTATACATTCAGAGAGTGAGCTGTCATTTTAAAGCAGAGTTTGGCTGAAATGCAGCAACAGACGCTCAAAGCAATGAATAAGCAATTTCGGCATTTCCAATAGCTGCAGCTTCCGTGACCTGTGATAAATTTTATTTACGGATTAAAAAGGATTCCTGGTTTGAATGTAAACCAGGTGCAAGGTGATTGATCTTCTTCTGGATAGCAGAATGGTAGCCAGAGGGGATATAACTCGGTTTTGGAGCCTGGAAAGCCTTCAGATAAGTATGTTGATGTAGGAGATGAGTTCCATTTATTCTTTGTGGCATTTGGGATTTAAACTGTTTAAACATAGGCCTAGACTTGGGTATCAAATATCATGTTTTAACTGGAAAGCTTAGTAGAATAGTGAGACTGAAAAATAATGAAAATGACTTCACTGTTGCTTTTAGTTTTGACATTCCCGTTCAAGAGATAAAAATTGCCCATTCATGTTTGCTTATTTGCTTCAGACAGCAAACAATAGAGTGATACTTACAGTGAACAAGAAATAATAAGCTAGCTATACAGAGTCAAAGCTAATTTCAGTGGATGAATCAGCTCCAACTTATGTTACCTTCTTCATGGGTATCTGCTTTAAAACTCGCTAAAAAACTAGACAATTAAATCGAGATGCAGTATTAAGCTAGAAACCAATCATGGATCTTAATGAAAATGGCTTTCAAATATGTATTGCATTTCTGTGACTTCATCAGTTTTTAATCTGTGTGCCTCTTGTTTTTAGGAATATTTCCTATGTTGTGATTGTGATCAGTGAAATAATTTATTCTAATTGCTCTTACCTTTTTGATTTATTCTAAACAAAAGAAGTTAAAGAACTGAGATTAGTCTGAAGCTTTTAGGAGGACAGATCTAGTCTACTTTAAAATATCTGTAAGTTAAATATTTTGTACGGCTCTAAAAATTTAAGTCTCCTGAAATGCAGCGCCTTAAAAAGATTAGAACTTGTCATAGCAAAAGTAGAAAGGATGTAATTTGATGGATCATTATTTACATGCACTGTTTCTGGGATAACAAAAGTAAAGTATTAAACAATTTTTGAAGAACACAAAAATCACCCTTTATTAAAAGATAGCAATGTTAGCGCCTTTTTTTCTCTAGCTTATGGGGCCACCACCACTGAAAAGGTTCTCTTTCACAAGTACTCTCCAAACATTGAAATGAGGATTATTCAGAAGATGACTTAACATCACCCTGGATAATGGAAAACCTGTGGCTGTTTCATTTTCCTGAATATTCTATTCTCAGATCTCCCAACCAACATAATCAATACGGAAGGACATTAGCAATTGAAGGCCACTGGCTTTCCTACCTTCTGTAAGGCATGTGCAGGCACAGAAATTTTGGGAAAATATATTAACACTAGTATTTAAATAATTAATATATTTACACCTTGCTGTTCATTGGTTCTCAGGCTTTGTTTCAAAAATGAGAGCCAGTTTGGCATAGTGCAGGGGTAGGCAACCTTGGCTCTTTGATGACTCGTGGACTTCAACTCCCAGAATTCCTGAGTCAGCTATGCTGACTCAGGAATTCTGGGAGTTGAAGTCCACGAGTCATCAAAGAGCCAAGGTTGCCTACCCCTGGCATAGTGGTTAAGGTGCTGGCCTAGAAACCTGGAGACTGTGAGTTCTAGTGCCACTTTAGATACGAAAGCCAGATGGGTGGCTTTGACCCAGTCACTCTCTCTCTTAGCTCAACTCATTTCACATGGTTATTGGTGTGGAAAAAATAGGAGGAAGAAGGAATATTAGATACAATTGCCGCCTTGTGTTATTGATAAAGTAATAAAGACCAGATAAAAACCTAATAAATAAGGGATGGTGGCTACTCTCATCTATACATTATGAGAAAATATCTAATCAACTGTGCTGATAGAATCTTGGAAACATATCCTATAACAACATTCTTCTGTGTAGTAACACAAAGCATTAAACTGGGAAGAAGGATATGCTTAGTTAATTGGGGGGGAGCTGTTAAAAAAAAGATTTCTTCCATTATATCTAATTAATAACAGAATAACAAGAGTTGGAAGGGAACTTGGAGGTCTTCTAGTCCAACTATCTGCTCAAAGAGGAAACCCTATACCAGGGGTAGGCAACCTTGGCTCTTTTATGACTCGTGGACTTCAACTCCCAGCATTCCTGAGCCAGCATGGTCATAAAAGAGCCAAGGTAGCCTACCCCTGCCCTATACCATTTCAGACAAATGCCTGAGCTGGTTTCATGCCGGTTTCCAGGCATCTGAACTTTGATCATGTGGCTGTTAGAATGATATGATAGTTGTAAATAAGTACCATTTGTAAAGTTACTTTCTGAGTGGCATTGTAACTTCGAACGGTCGCTAAACAAATGGTTGTAAGTTGAGGACTACCTGTATGCATTCAATTCTTTTCCTTACTTTGAATATGTTTTTAGTAGCTTGTTTCTGTCCTACTAGGTTGGTATGTTTTACTGTTCATGCAAGTGGTTATCATAAATAAAAAATCAGAATCTGGTGCCATTTTAAGAAAGCATTTTGTAAAACAAATATGTAATGGACAGTCGGTTTGACAATACCTAATTTCTCAGAATTTCCCTTTCCCGCTAGGTGCTGCAGATGGTACCTCTGAATCTCCAGCTTTAGTGGATGATAATGGCAGTGAAGAGGATTACGGCTATGAAGAACTCTGCCATGCCCACCCAAGGTACTTGCAGCCTGGAGGCGAGCAGCTAGCTGTCAGTGAGGTAAATTTCTAACTTTGGAATTTCCAGACATTGCAACTGAAAATGTGTAAAAAGTTTCACATTTTTGTCACTGCAGTGGCTACGGATCCTTACTTACCCTTTGGGTATAGCAAGATCTTTTTCTTTTAACAACATGTTTTTATTGCAGCTGATAAGTGATGGAAATGTGGTCTGTGCCGAGGCTCTCTGGGATCACGTGACCATGGATGATCAGGAATTAGCCTTCAAAGCTGGAGAAGTCATCCAAGTCCTTGAAGCTTCCAATAAAGATTGGTGGTGGGGAAGAAATGAAGACAAGGAAGCTTGGTTTCCAGCCAGTTTTGTCAGAGTAAGTGAAGCAAGATCTCTCTATTTTTCAAGCACTTGTTTATCCTTGGAGACCTGGTTAAATTCTATCCTGCATTCTTTCCCACCAAGACATCTAGGCTGCAGTGATTCGCTGGAGTATTTTTCATTTTTCAAGTTATTTCCATCTATTAAAATCATCACTGTCCTGCTCTTCCATTTCTTTCTGTTTGTTTTGTACTGTACTGTACATAGGAACAATCTTTCTTGAACTGAGCTCAATTCTTGGTGACATGGACATCTTTGTGTAATGTTATGACAATAATGCAAATGCATTTGCCATTGCCTTCGTCTGACGTGTTTTTTTCCCCAGCTTCCCAATCTAGTATAGAGACCTTATTTATTTATGTATTTGCTTATTTATTTGCTTATCTGTTTATTTCAAAAGACTTATATTGATGCTTATATTGTAGCAACAACTCCAGGTACTATACAGCTAAAACATTAGTGGCCCCCAAATTATAAAGTAAAATTATTGCACCTTGGGGCAGTATTCTTCCGTACATCATCATCTTGCTGGACTTTTGCCTTTTTCACTCCCATGCTTGCAAGAAGAGACAGCTCCTCAAGACCTTTCAGAAGACAAGGAGGTTGAATCTACCTGAACTCTGGGGAAAGGATGGAACAAAACTGCAGGGACAGTTTCAGAGGAGGCTCCCACTATACGATAATGTTTAAGGCAGCGGTCCCAAACTTTTCTGGCTTGGCAGACTGGTGGGGGGGGGAAGGAGGGTTCCGTGGAGTGGCAGGCATGCACGCGAGCATGTGCAACTCCATTTGTTCAAGTGGCAGACAAGTGCGCATGCGTGCCACCTGCACAAATGGAGCTGCTTGCGCGAATGACCACATGCATGAATGGAGCTGCACGTGCATGCGCTCTCACCTGCCACTTCTGCAGACTGGTTCCGAATGGGCCATGACCCAGTAGTGGGCTGTGGGCCGGGGACCCCTCGTTTAAGGGAAGGAACCTATCTGACCTAGTGGGATGGGCAAATATCCTCAGGAAGAGGCAGTCATGCAGGTAGCCTGGTCTCATGCCATTTAGGGCTCTAAAGGGGATACCCAACATCTTGAATTGCACTGGGAAAGAAACCAGAAACCAGTGTAGCTCACACAGCAGTGCTATAATATAGGGAAAATGTGGAGCACTAAGATCTACATCAATGCTGCATTCTGAATCAATTACAGCTTCTAGGCACTGGTCCAGCACCAGGATAGCATCACTTAGCCAGGGAAGGAGAGGTATTATTTGGTATCATCAGCATAGACAGAGACCAAAGTCAGCTTTGTTTTTTCATTCCCAAATTCTGTTTCCCTTATGTGCAGGCATTTAATCTTTCCAAATTGCTGATTCTGAAGAATATCATTTTTTCTTCTGCTTGCAGGAGAAAACCATTAATAAGTAATGATTTCAAAAAGCATATTGTAAAGGCTAAATAGGCAATATAAAGGCTAAGAGGTTCCACTGTTGACAGTTAAGCTGTTGTTAATTGAAATTATTCTTGAGATCACTTGTTGTATCTTTCTAATTAAAATGCAACCTCTCCATGCTGATTTTTAACTGGGAATATCTAAAACAACAGGTGGACAACCTGTCCAAAGCACAGGGAACTCCTACTCTATTTTATAGCCATGAAAGCCTCTAAAATTATTCTATGAAAATTTGAAATACAGATAATCCTTGATTTAAAACCATTCATTTAGTGACCATTCAAAATTACAGTGGCGCTGAAATAAGTGACTTATGACCATTTATCCCACTTATGGCCATTGAAGCATCTCCATGGTCATGGCCCGCGGGCCGGCAGTTTGACACCCCTGCTCTAAAGAGGGCATTCAGAAACAGGGTAGCACAATTGAAAAGGTCATACAATCCCCATCATGTTATTTGACATGGTTATTTGTAGGGAAACTTTGATAAAGATTGTAGAAATATGGTAATGGATGTGGGAAATAATCCTAAGTATACCTAGACAAGATATTTTAAAAATATCAAGTACATTGCCCTAATATTGACATTATATTTCTGGATTGATGTTGGATATAGGTGTACTTTTTCAATTCGGTTGTTTGACCTCCATTCTACTTTTCATTCCAGCTACGAGTCAATCAAGAAGAATCTGCAGAATACTCTAGTGGCCTCCAAAATGAAGAGCCAAATATAGATCCTGAAAGGCATCGCCAAAAAATAGCAGAAAACAAAGATCAGATGAGAACCAATGTAATTCAGGAAATAATGAACACAGAGAAGATTTATATCAAACATCTGAAAGACATCTGTGAGGTAAGCTATAAAATGATAATGTAACAAGGAAGAAGAAAAGAACCCAATGTTTGTCGTGAAGAGTCTATGAGCCGTCCAGAAAAGTGATGTGGTCCCTAATGAAAAGCAGCATCACAAAAACCCTTCTGACTGTTCCTTTCTTTTCCTGTGATGTGATTTAGGCTGATTCACACATCCACATTGCCCCAGTGCAAGTACGGGTTACAAGCCATATTATACTTCTATCTTTTTTTTTTTGCTCCTCAGACCACTGGGAAGGCCACCTTCCACTGTCTTTTCCTGGTACAGATCAAATTAGTGTTTGAGAAATTGTGATGGCCCAAGTGACAGAAATGGTTTATATATTTATTTAGCTCCTGGTCCATTGATGGACATTAGACAGGAAGGTATCAAGTACAAGGGTGAGTCAACTGGTTGAGTTTATGCAGAAATTCTGTCAATAGAAACCACAAAGCACAGTTTCCTGGCTTGGATGGGAGCTATAATGATGTAAGAGAAAATCCCAGCAAGGTTATCTGGTCCACACAGTCCAGGAAGAACACCAGCTCATTACTGTGGACAAAGTCATTTCCAGCAGATCAGTCCATCTGAGTCAGTCAACATAAGGCTGCAGTATGGAGAAAACAGAAAAACCGGAGAAAGTGACAGGAAAAGGCAACATGGGCAAAGAGAAGAAAGGAACTACAGCAGACATGTCAAACAAGGCCCGGGGGTCGGATGCGGCCCGCGAAGTGGTTTCATGTGGCCCGTGAAGCCATCCTGGAAACAGTGAGGGAATGGCCCCCGCTGCCTTGGCCTTGGCCCAGGCCAGCCGGGAGGGAGCCAATGTACAATTTTGTGGTGGCCATCTTGGCACTTGCCCTGGTGGACCATGCCTTGGCACTTGCCCTGGTCCCACCCCCTTCTGCCAGAGACCTTCAGATCTGGCCCACTCCTGCCCAGGCCCCCATAGGCCCCCTTGACACGAATGATGTAGAACTGGCCATGCCCACCCAGTAGGCCACACCCACTCCATCCACACCCACCTACTAGGCTGCACCCACTCTGGCCATACCCACCCGGGCCCCCCAGGGCAACCGCAATGCTGATGCGGCCCTCAGTGAAATTGAGTTTGACACCCCTGAACTACAGGTAGTCCTCAACGTATAACAGTTCATTTAGTGACTGTTCAAAGTTACAACGGCCCTGTTTTTCACAGTTACAACCTTTCTAGCATCCCGATGGTCATGTGATCAAAATTCAGATGCTTGGAACTAATTCATATTTATGACTGTTGCTGTGTCTCAAGATCATGTGATCACCTTTTGTGACCTTCCGACAAACAAAGTCAATGGGGAAGCCAGATTCACTTAACAACCGAGTTAACTAACTTATCAACCGCAGCAATTCACTTAACAACTGAGGCAAGAAAGTTTGTAAAATGGGACAAAATTCACTCAATAAATGTTTCACTTAACAATAGAAATTTGGGGCTCAATTGTAGTCTTAAGTCGAGGAGTACCTTTAATAAGTCAGTGCCATAATAACAAATATTTATTATAAAAAATTGAAAAAAATCTTTTTCTGTTTTACAGAATAAAGGTTGCTGGTGATCATGACTTCTATTGAATATTTTTGCTTTGTCTCAACTGACCCTGTGTCTATCAAAAGCTCTTCCGATCACTTTCCCAAGTGAAAGAGACACTGACTTGTTAAAAATATTTCCCCAACTTTGTTTTAAAAAGATACGGGAAGGCATTTGCTACTACTCAGACTATGGTGTGTGTTTTTCAGCAGAAAACCAAGTCATGAGCCTATTCCAGTATATTGCACTAGGTTTTCTTGCCATAGAAATATAATATAGATGTATGGGAGCAAATTGAAATGTGTTGTCCAGATGCCAAATTAAAACAGTTGTTACTTCCTTAAAGTAAATTAATTCTGTAATGCTGTAGAATTCAGTCCCTGTATATTGACTTTGAGTTGTGTAAAGTAATTGTTCCTTAGAAATTCTACAGAATGATTGCAGTAGACAAGTGAGGAAATGTTATGACTGAACTTCTTTTAGTATAAAGTGGTAGAGTGCTTACCTTCAATGTTTAGTTACCCTGATCAATATTAAGACCCTTTTCGGTTGGATTTCTTAGGGATACATTCGGCAATGTCGCAAACATACCGGAATGTTCACATCGGCCCAGCTAAGCACCATATTTGGAAATATTGAAGATATTTACAAATTCCAAAGAAAATTTTTGAAAGATCTAGAAAAGCAGTACAACAAAGAAGAGCCCCACTTAAGTGAAATAGGATCCTGCTTTCTTCAGCATGTAAGTTGGTTAAATATCCTCATTTGACTAAGTAGTAAAGAGCAAGAGAAAGGGAATTTGGTGAACTGGGGAAACCTGCAGTGAGGCAACACTGCAGAATCAGCATAATTCAATAAAAGTTATGTTTTCTGAAGAGGCAAAGGTCAGAATGAGGAGGCTGATTATACAGAAAGGGCCAGGACTTGGGGGTTTATAGTAAGTATATTTTAGGGCAGGGATGCCAAAACTACGCCCACCCCATTGCCGGCAATGGAAAAAAAGTTGTAATACGTCATGACACGTCACGTGACGTTGCGAGTTTGACACCCGTTTTAGGGGTTATATCAGTTTTTAGTGTTTCTCATTTCTAAATGTTAGAGAATTGTGCTGTAGATTTTCAGCAGTTTTAACCAGGGAGGCTGGAGCTGCACTAAGGGGCTTTGCTGCAGGGATTCATTCATTCCGGGTCCTGCATGCCTGACTGATTGCCAAGCTCAATTATTTATTTTGAGTCAGCTTTCTGAGAAACAGTCATATTGTTTCTGTGCCTTTTCAGGAAATCCAGGTGTCTTACATCCCTGTCCTCTCCCTTTCTTCAATTAGAAACAGCTGCAGGATTGCGAAAGCAATTTCTACAGCTTGCAGTTTATCTGCACCTTTAGTTTTCTCCTTCCAGCTGCGAGATATTTTAAAATTGTTTTTGTATTTTTGTTTTTTGATTTTAGCAAGAAGGATTTGCAATCTATTCTGAGTATTGTAACAATCACCCTGGAGCCTGCCTTGAGCTTTCCAAGCTGATGAAGCAGAGCAAGTACCGCCATTTTTTTGAAGCTTGTCGCCTCCTTCAGCAAATGATTGACATTGCCATTGATGGTTTCCTTCTCACTCCTGTTCAGAAAATCTGTAAATATCCCTTGCAGCTTGCTGAATTATTGAAGTACACCACTCAGGATCATAGGTAAGGCCTACTGGTTAGGTTTTTCTGTGGGAACGTTCCACATTCAGGTTAGCTTCTTTCCACTGACCAAGGATGCTTGCAGGATATGATCTAAAGCAGGGGTAGTCAACCTTGGCTCTTTTATGACTCGTGGACTTCAACTCCCAGAATTCCTGAGCCAACACAGCTGGCTCAGGAATTCTGGGAGTTGAAGTCCACGAGTCATAACAGAGCCAAGGTTGACTACCCCTGAAAAGGATATGATCAAATACTTATGAAAGCAGCCATGATGGGTGCAATAAACATTCCTCCTTTTTTCATGTCCATCACAAGCACACACATAAAAAAGGGAGACGTTCAATTGCACCCTTGCCTTTCAATTTTTCCAGAAGCACAGGCTTAAATTTGTATGTCCTCTTCATATACAATTCTTAGTGATCGTGAAAAGAAACTTCTAAACCATCTTGAGAAGTAGGTAAAATTGTTAAACTATGCTGAAATATAAATTATGTATTTTAGTTGAGAGCATTCAGTTAAATTGGACTGGAACACAGCACATGCAGTCCATGATATCCCTGGACATTATCCATGGAATTAAATTTTAAAGTGGAAATGGTTGGCTCTCGTAAAGTTTTTGGATAAGAATAACAAAATCCTATTAGATTTCGATCATTTTCCAGGAGACCTATCGAGATATTAGCATTTTTTGTACAGTGTGACAAGGGTGAGATTTGAAACAATTTTATAACCGTGTGGAGAGGGGATCCTCAACCTCTTAAAAACATAGTTGAGCTAGCCTTACACCGCCCTAGCCCGACACTTTCCAGATATGCTGGACTTACAACTCCCAGAATTTGCAGACAGCACTGTCAATTTTTGTGACAGGTTGAGGAGCTGAGACCCTTCTGGATATAGTTTTTGAATTACAACTTTTTGTAGCTCTCAGCCAGCATAGTCAGTGGGGTGGAATGTCGAGAGTTGTAGCTACTTACTAAGGTAGGAAAGATTGATTTAGAAGATGAACCAATCAGTTCTCCACACCTCACTGAACTGTTTTCTAATTCTCTCAAACTGAATGAAAATTACTAGTGTGAAAGAAAGTGATCTGTTGGATGATAAACTATGATTCAGAGCTTTAATACTTTTTGATTACTTAAGATGTCTGTTATAAGTTCTGCTATTCTGAATGGACTGAAAGTGCATGGACTGCGTAATCAAATAAAGAGGAACTTTACTTGCTTTACTTGCTTGATATCCAACTTTTCACCCTAGAGCTCTAAAGATAGGCTGGATGACAGCTCCCATCACACACCCATGACTTTCAAACTACATGACTGTGCATCCCTCTTGTAATCCTATACCCTTGCAACAGTATAAATCACCCACCTCCTACATGCACGTTGCAGGCTGATGAAAAAAGGAAATGTAGTCTAACACAAACTAACTTCTTCCTAGATTTCTTTGAGCCACTCAGTACCTCTCAACACATTCTATCTCACCATTAGAATGAACATAAAAGTCGGTAACTATGTAAGGAGAGAGTTGTAATTCAGAGACAAGGTCAGTCCTAGGTATACCCTAGTACTAGCTCTGTTATTATTTTAATTGGAACAATCTGCTTAAGAGCCTAGGGAATTGTTATCAGAGCTACAGAGGTCTATAACCTTTTCAGTCACTGAACCTTCTCGCTTTTTTTAAAAAATTGCTAGTGAGATTTTAGCACCCTTATCTAGGAGTCATGCAAGAACTCACAAGACCTCAGTGTTCCCATATAAGCTCATGAAATCTGATTTGAAAATGGTGGGATCGTGTGAGTTTAATAATCGTGGAAGATTTTGAATGTTACATTTTTATTTAATGTATTGGTCTTTCAGTGCTTTCTAGGAATGTTGTAAATGGTTTGGCAATTTTGCTGGCCCCCTGGCCTGTGGGTCACTTCTCTAAAAGGAATGAGAGGAAAATGGCAAATTTGCACTGTTTGAAGTATCCATAGCAGCAGTTGAGAAGCTCAGTTTATGGTCTTTTCAGTTAATTGCAAACATGTACTTGTTGAAATCATACTGTCTTTTTACGGGACTGTTATCATGCTAGAGGTTTCTTAGATGAATCATGCCAGAAGTACCGTAGGGGTTGTTTGGAACATCTTTTCTAAATTTAAAGGTGGTTTCAAAAATTGCTCCACAGGCAGTCTGTTTTTTCCAACAAGACTGAAAGCTCTAATTTCCATTGTAAAAGTGCTCAGACAATGAGGCAATTAAGTGTGGGGTTCATTTTTTTAAAAAAACCACAGTTAATATGCAACCTGGACAGGAAGTTGCGCTGGTTATCTTATGCACCCTTTTTGGATATAAATCCCTTTCAACTGCAGCTACACTCCAGATAGATAGGAGTGTGGGAGATATTTGTTGTCTTGATTTCTCCTTTTCCCACTTTGTTCTTTGGGATTAATGCAGGGCTGTCTTGGAGATTCTGAAAAGATTTGTACAGCTTTATACAGAAAAGGCTCCAGCCTTCCTTTTATCTGAGCTGCCCTGCCTAACAAAGGGGTTGCTGTTAGAGCCATTGTCTCTGTTCAGTGGGAAGAATCCATCATGGTACTTGTAGAAATGGAGTCTCCTGCCACTCTCCCCACTGCCCATAAATGTCTGTGTGAATGTGTGTCAGAGAAGATGCTAAAGAGACTTTAGATTGTTTCCTATATGTGTGGCATTTTGTAAGGCTATTAAGACATTGCTGTTTCAGCAACCTTTTGGAATTTGGCAGATAGGATAATTCCCTCTTGTAGGAGAATGCTTAATGCGATGTATTTATGGGGTATTACAATTATTTTTTTTCCCTTTATTAGACTGATCATTCTTGTGGTTTTTGCTATTGTTTTGACTTTGTCTTTTTTGGCTTTATTACTGAATCAGGTAGTATAAACTGCTCAGGGTCACTTTTTTTTAATTAAAGTAGGATATTAATCTAGTAAATGAATAAGATGCATCCTCTGCAGGGATTGACCAGTATCTTTCTTTCTTTGACAGTGACTATAACAATATCAAGGCAGCATACGAAGCCATGAAGAACGTAGCTTGCCTCATCAATGAACGCAAACGAAGGCTAGAAAGCATAGACAAGATTGCTCGCTGGCAAGTCTCCATTGTCAGTTGGGAGGTGAGGGAACATTGCCAGGCATTTTTCAAGCTTGAAGACCCAGGGTTTCTCCCCACTGTTTCAAGGGGTGTTTTCTTATTTTGTGCTGCTTCCACTGTAAAAAGGTGGTTGTTGATTTCCATTGTGGTGATTATGATTTACTTCAAATAATTTATTAATTTATTTCACTTTTATTTTTCTCAATGATTCATCAAGTGGCTGATGTCCTAAAAACTCAACAACTCAGCTGCACCAAATTGTTTTTGCTTCTCCTTCAAAAGGCTTAAAAAAAATCTGAAGAACAGCAGAATCATTCTAAACCAAGAAGCAATGTTAGAAATCACTGAACTCAATTATTTACTTACTTGGGGATTTTACAGAGATTTTTGTAGCAGCTGGGTGATCATTTAGTTGTATACTTGAAATTGAGAAGAGGTGAAGTTGGAGTCAATATAGGTTTTTCTTTTTCCTGAATACTGGTTAGTTTTTCTTCACACTCTAGCATTTTGAGGGTATAATCTGTGCAAAGGAGAGGCATTTTTACTTAACTGGGCTCTCCTGGTTTTTGGTTATTTTTGTAAAACTGCTGCAAGTAATCTCATTGAACTGGGATTGGCAACTTGGGGGGGATTTTTTTAAAAGGTTCCATTTTTTGAGAGATTTTGGCAATCATAGTCCATGATCTGGGAGATTGGGGCACTATTTAAGAGTATAATAAAATCCTTGAATCCTTAGGTACCTTTCTGATAACCCTTGTATTGGAGAGATAATTTGGTTTAAATCTAAAATCCAATACAATCATGTATATTTAGGTTCAGAATTCAGTAAACATTTGAATCAGCCTGTTTAATTCTGTTTTGGAGTGGCCAACTACCATTTAGGGCCTCTGCACATATTGCTATAACTAAAAACAGGGTCATAAGCACGACCACAAACTTTGAAACAGAGAAAAAGAGATAGAGGCAAAGACCACGTTCTTCAGTAGAAAAAAATCCCTATGGAATTTTTATTTTAAAAAATTAATGGAAATACAAATTTTGAAAGGGAAAGGTAAGGAAAGTAATGTATTAAGTATGTGAGAAAAAGTCCAAAAAGTGAAATAGAAAAGACAAAGAAAGACAAGAAAAGAAGCTACTGCAATTACAAGTACATTTATATTTTATTCTCTTTTTCTCTAGGGTTAAAAGACATAAGCTTTTATGACTAAACTTAGGCCTTTCAATAAAAGTATTAGTCTGAAAAAGTGCTACTGAAGTCTTGATTTTTGTGTAGCCTAGACTTCACAGCTCTTTTCTTAAGCGACTTAAACAATGTTTTAGTGACTTTAAGATAGTAGCTCCAGGTGAATAACAGGAGAAAAGCTTATTTATTCTCTTTTTCTCTAGGGTTAAAAGGCATAAGCTTTTATGACTAAACTTAGGCCTTTCAATAAAAGTATTAGTCTGAAAAAGTGCTACTGAAGTCTTGATTTTTGTGTAGCCTAGACTTCACAGCTCTTTTCTTAAGCGACTTAAACAATGTTTTAGTGACTTTAAGATAGTAGCTCCAGGTGAATAACAGGAGAAAAGCTTATTTCCTGCCAAACACTCTAGAGCAGAGGTCTTCAAACTTGGCCCTTTTATGACTTATAGTCTTCAACTCCCAGAATTCCTCAGCTAGAGTATTGCCACAAGGGTCTCTGACAGGGATAGATATTGTCTGTGGCTGTTGTTCACCAAGAAATAATCTTCAATATTTATGTACGCAACAGACCATTCCACTGGCTTAACTGGAGTTGGGGAGGAGAGACAAATGAACCTCCTGTCAGGGATCTATTGATGATAGTTAACATAGGTAACATCTAGCTCTAATATTTTAAATTGGGGTTGGGGTGGAGTGGGATGTCTTCCTCATTCTGGTAAGGGAAGATTTTGCTACATTTACTGGCATAGGTATAAAAAACGTGTGGCAAGCAGTTCAGGCTTGGTGGTTACCATATTGGAGACTAAAGATTAATAGATTAATATTAAAGATTAATAGAAGCATGAATTATTTATCTATCTAACCAGTGCTTTTTTTCTAAAAAAAAAAAAAAAAGGTGCCAGAACTCACACACATCATACAACCCGCCTTGCCTACCCTATAAGGTTCCATCCAACAAAGGTGCTGGAACTCCGTTCTGGGCATTCTATGAGGAAAAAAAGCCCTGTATCTAACATCATTCATGGTGCTAATAAAGTAAAATTTGCTATCTCCTTTTCTTTTTCTTTTTTACAAATGCTTTAGGGGCAAGACATCTTAGGCAAAAGCTCTGAATTAATCCACTCAGGAGAATTGACCAAAATCTCCAAACAAGGCAAAAGTCAGCAAAGAACATTCTTTCTTTTTGACCATCAGCTTGTGTTCTGTAAGAAGGATTTATTGAGAAGGGACATGTTGTATTACAAAGGCCGGATGGACATGGACGAAATGGAGGTGGTAGATGTTGAGGATGGCAAAGACAAAGACTTTAATATCTCTGTAAAAAATGCTTTCAAAATTGTAAATAATGCTACAGAAGAAGTTCACCTATTTTGTGGGAAAAAGCCAGGTGATAAAAAAAAGTGGCTGGAGGCTTGTATAAATGAGAGGAGACGAGTGCAAGAAGACAAAGAAATGGGTAAGTATTATCTTTTGCTAAGTGAAAACTTTAGAGTGGAAATTTGGAATATTTTCCCATTGCATAGTCTCTCCCACCGGCCTCGTTGCCTACCTCCCCAAATCAGCAAAACTATATTGAAAATGTTCATGATGTAACCCAAATGTTGTGAGATTGTAGCATGTAAAATTTCATGATTTTTTTAAATTCAATTTGATTGTGATTAAATGCATTTGTGGTTAGAGTCGTTCCATCAATGGGCTGGAAGGATTGCATTACCGATTTTTTTTAATTAAAGCCAAGGTGCAATATTTTGTTTATTTCTGATGTGGTTTTGGTATCAACGGACTCAATACCCAGAATTGGGTGGTTAATTTTAAATAATGATCAACTTTTAAATATGTTGTTAAGTACTGTTATGACTGAAAGGGGCAAATCCAGATTCTCAGGAATAATTCCTTGTGATTTCCACTTATCTACTTCATTTTGGTAGAACTGTTCTGGAATGACAAATCTGCATTATTCTGAATCAAACCATTTGTCCATTTTCTCAGTATTCTCTACACTCAATGGTAATGGCTTGTTTACCTTTTTCAGAAGTTATGATATCCTTGCAGAGATGTTGAGAATTGAAACTGAGCTTTTCTATGTATAAAGTCTGCACTCTGTTATTAAATTGTGATGCATCTCCTCTTTTGAAATTAGATTGTTACTCAGTGATGCTTTTATTGAACTTAGCTTTAACAACATATTACAATCTCATTCTTGAAATAGCATTAAAATTTCTATCATTTATCCTTCAAACATAGGAATGGAAATCTCAGAAAACCAAAAGAAGCAAGCAATGCAAAATGCACGGAAGTCAAGAAATGGAAAAATGAAAGGTGAATATTTAAAGCATCTTCCCCCACCATGACCAAAGACTGGTTCACCCAAGATAGCTTTCCTTTCAGATGAATAATCTTGTTTTCTTGGGTATTAAGGATATAAGGAAGTGGCACATAGACTAGGCCAGTGGTGGCGAACCTTTTAGAGACCGAGTGCCCAAACTGCAACACAAAACCCACCTATGCATCGCCGGGTGCCAAGTGGGCGTGGCTACTGAGTGGGCGTGGCCACCGAGCTGTCAATTCGTGCTTGCTCACTGTCCGCTCCGACTCGTGCTCGCTCTCAAGCTGCCTGCAGCAAATGCTGCTTCCGCAGAAAGTTGCTCCTTTTATAGCCTCTCGCCTATTCCCAGACTGCGCATGCGCAGAGAGGAGGAGGGAGCAACTCAGCCCAGCAATGGCTCGCGTGCCACCAGAGACGGCTCCGCGTGCCACCTGTGGCACACGTGCCATAGGTTCGCCACCACGGGACTAGGCAGTATAGATGCAACGGGTTAGATTTTCCTATGCTTTACTAGCTGGATATTGGCAAGATATCACTCCTGGCTGTTAATCCATATGTATCATTGTCTTCATAAGTACATGACTGTAGATATAGGGAGTCCCTGGTAATAGAACAGGATGATGAACCTATGATATATATAGTGTTGAACTATGACTCCCAGAACCCATTCACTGTATTAGTTAATATGTTTCATTTTCTAGGTTTACACAATAATTTAATCATAAACTAGCACACTCTGTTTACATAATACACACAAAAGAAATTAACAATGGTTAAACAAGTTATATGAATACATTTTGTCTTTAAAAGATTTGGTTAAACATGCTGTTTGGATCAACTTCTTTTTGGATCCTGCTCTCTGAATCAGCCAGGTGTGTAGTTGCAGGAAAACTAGAGTATCACAGCAATGGTGTCTAAAAAAACATGCTATTTGAGGTAGGAGAAGGACTGCTGCTTGAGTAGAAAAGAACATCTCCCAGTTTCCCTTCTTCTGTTGCCCTATTACCCCACCAGCTTTTTCTCTGTCTGTTGTATACTCCCATTCTTAACACTTATAATGAGTAAACTGTTTTGGACAGCAAAGGGAGTTGGCTCCAATTTACCATGCATCCTGTTTGGTCCTTGTAATTTTGCCTAATGGTGAAACTGCCCCTGGCCTCAGATTCCTATTTCCTGATGTATGGCAAAAAGGGTCATGTGAATAGGTCCTGAATTATAATCTTTGGATATTGTTTTCCTTCTACAGGTGTCAGCTATAATGGATGCCCAGTGCCACCGCCACACCAGAGTTTGCATCCTATCCATCAGCGTCATGTTACAGTGCCCACTAGTATTCCACAGCAGCAGGTGTTTGCCCTAGCAGAACCAAAGCGGAAACCATCCCTTTTCTGGCACACTTTTAACAAACTGACGCCATTTAAGAAATGAACAGCCCAACATCCATGGCCTGAGAGGCCATCTGGAAAAGGGGAACAATTTACCAGCAAAGCTTTTGTTGGTCCAGTTGGAAAACATGGATTCTGCCCTGGATAGAAGATATGGGTTGATTTCTGATTTTCCACCATAACCTTCATTGAGCAACATGAAGAAGACATGGTTTATTGAAGGAGAAAGTGAATGATCTGAAATGGATGTGGTCCTGAATCAATAAACAGACCGATGGGAGAGTTACCACTTGACCACAGTAGCAAATTGCTGCTATCTCAGAAAAGGGCATGTGCATAAGTCATCCTTGTACCAAAGGAATGGTTCAAAACTTTTAAGTCATTTTGACAGGCTTAATAGTGAATGGATTGACCAAATTTAAAAACAGGAAGGATAGTTTCTCTGCCTTTGTGCAGAATTTGGCAAAGGGTGGTCTCATCCTTCCTATAGCTCTTACATCATCAAGTTGTTGGTACTGACAAAACTGCTTAATTCTTCCTATTTGTCTTTGTTTGCTGTGTTGTTCTGTTAAGTGAGACTTAGACTTCCTCCAAGGCACATTCATGGCAAAAGGAAGAAAATGTGAACTCGGTATCATAAATATATGAACATGTATTTTTATATGAAGAAAGTCCCCCTTGGACTCAGGGTGGAATCATACCAAAAACGGTATTTTGCTGTATACATTATCTGTTCATCAAGAAATGGATTTCATTTTGTTATCTCTGGCTCTTGAGTCCATGAAAATTACATCATTGGTTTCCAGTATGCCTGCTTGTACTTTATGAAAAATTGAAAGTGTTTTTTTTTATTTTAGGAGTGCCTTAAATGGCATCAGTGTGGCTATACAAAAATAAGGATATGAAAAAAGAACCTGAGAGAGTTTTTACTCAATCCCATAAATATATTCATTCCATCTGGTTTGCAGGTTTCTGACAAAAATGACTTTAAACAAGTTCCAACATGATCTTTTTATGTGGTTGCTCTTATGTGCATCAGACAAGCCAGAAAAGGCTTAGGAATTATTTGTTTGGCATTCTGTTAAGAGTATCCAACACTAGGACCATCTGGTGACATTAGAAATGAATTTTGATTAAACTTGATTAGAAACATGGCCTATTTATAGACTATTAAAATGATATGTCCTTGTTTTGATTTGGTTTGTTCTCTTCTGTGAAATGAAATTGATTTTTAACATGGGGTTTCTAAAAATACCCTCCCTCGGGACAACTGCCATAAATTAGGGTTTATGGCATGCTATTGGTCACCCTCTTACATTGCTAATGCTTATAGTAAAACACTGGATATTGAAAATCCTAAGCCATAATGGGTGTGTTCAATTTAATCTGTTACAGCCTCTGCAGTTTGTAAACCATGGCTCATGGCTCAGTTTGTAAACCATGACTCAATAAACCATGGTTAACAAAACTATAGCTCAGAGTATTTCATAAACAACTTATGACAACGAAAACAAATTCAGGGATTTTTATATTATTTTCGTTACAAAGATAGGTTGGACTATAATTTCTTAGCCAGCTTGACCCAAAAGAAAGGCTAAACTGTATGAAGTGCTATGGCTTCAACTAGATAAGGTAAAATGTAAAACACATATATGAGTCATCCCTCAATAGAAATTTAGAAAGTAAACCATTTTGATTTCATCAGAACTTACTTTTGAGCAGCTATAGCTAGGAGAGGTTGCCATCCAGCTAAACTGCAACACTTTTCAGTCTCTACTTCAACAGACATGCTTCAGTATTAAAGATTGAACTTAGGGAGATTCAGTAGTTCCAAAGTTTGACTTCATTGTGCTGTGGTATATCCATATAGGAGACACAGTGGCTCAGTGGTTAAAGATGTTGAGCTTGTCAGCTGGAAAGCTAACAGCCCGGGTTTGAGACCCGAGTGCCGTGTGGCAGGGTGAGCTCCTGTTACTTACTCCAGCTCCTGCCGATCTTGCAGTTCGAAAGCCTGCAAATGTGAGTAGATAAATAGGTACCACTTCAGTGGGAAGGTAACAGTGTTTCATGTGCCTCGGCATATAGTCATGCTGGCTATATGACCACAGAAATGTCTTCGGACAATGCTGGCTCCTTTGGCCAAGAAACGGAGATGAGCGCCGTGCCCTAGAGTCAGACCCAACTGGACAATTACCTTTATGTATATATAAGCACACACATATGGTGTTATAATGATTTTTAACGATTGGCAGCTTCAGCAATAGACAATAAAAACTCTCTGATATAATGAAAATGCTAACGAAAGATGCATCCTGATTAGCTCTGACTGATTTTATGAATATATTGAAAAGAATTGGTGCATCTTCATTTTTAATACACATTCAAATGTCTTTACTAACAAGAATGTTTAAATATGAAAAGATAGTTTTAATAACAAGGATGCTACATATGCCTCAGTACATAGCATAACATATCCTTCAAAACAGGCCTTCTCCCCTTCAGGTATGCTGGATTTTGAGTCTAATTCCAAAATAGCAGTGGCACTGGATTAGGGAAACTGAAATTTTAATTCACCTGCAAAACACTCAGCTGGGGGGACGATGCCTGAAAATAGTTTTCATGTTCAGTTGTTCATTGTGTTGTTCACACTTGCTTTTGATATCAGCCTTCCCCCCCAGGTATTAATTTTTTTTTAAAAAAATGCAGTAGTGATCTCCAGTTTATTATCTTCTTAGTTGCCTATTCGGTTTGAACAGCCATATGTTTTGCAAGAATAAGTACTGAATGAGTGCACAAGATGAAATGGTTATGCAAGGCAATTTGAATTTGTCTTGTATCATTCAGAATAACAGAGTTGGAAGGGACCTTGGAGGTCTTCCTCAAGCAGGAAACCCTAGACCATCTCAAACAAATGGCTGTCCAATCTCTTTTTAAAAACCTCCAATGTTGGAGCACCCACAACTTCTGAAGGGAAGTCATTCCATTGATTAATTGTCCCCGCTGTCAGGAAAGTTCTCATTAGTTCTAGGTTGGTTCTCCCCTTAATTAGTTTCCATACATTTTGGCCAGCTAGATCCACCTCCTATTCAATGCATGATCTCCAAAAACACTTTTGACTGATGGCTGTCCAACTGCAGTCTGGAAACCCCAGTGAAGGGGAACATGCCTAATGAGAAATTATATCCCTCTTTGTCACATATAAACCATCTTAATAACTTGGCATGCTCTCTTAAAATGAAAACTTTTTTAAAATTTGAAAAATTCATATTTTTAAAATGTGCCCCTAAAATTGTGTCTAATAATTGGGACTTATAACAAAAGACAATAGTATATTTTAGATGGCTCACCAAACATTTCTGATTTGGGGCTCACTATGCTAAAATAATTTTTGTTGTAGCTGAGCTCTTTAGGGGGTATGGCTGGGATGAGATGATGTCATCAGAAGACATATGGATTTTTTTTTATCATTTTGGCAGGTTGAAAATTGGGCAAAAGTTTTCTTAATAGATGCATTAAGCGTGTTGGAAGTGTTATATATCTACTTCCTTTTATTTACCACCAAATATCAAAAAGTCGCAGAATTTTACTTGTGGTTTGCAGCCACACTTCAGTACTCTTAATTTTTAGAATACGAGGCATAGGTTTTCTACCTCTAATCATAATATCAAAATAGCCATATTTTTCTCCAGGAAGACCTCCCCTTTTCACTTTTTCCTATTTCCACCCCAGAAAGATCTGTTAAAAGTCCTCTTTACACTGTTTAGATCAGGGGTCTCAAACTGATGGCCTGTGGGCCAGATACATCACGCGCAGGCCACGCCCACCCCGGCTCCACAAAGGCAAAAAAACATTGTGATGCATCATGTGATGCGATCAAGACCTGTGGTTTAGATGGAGAGACTGCTATTTATAATTACAGGAAGAGACCACCATTACTGTTGGTACTCTCTTTTAGTTCAGTATGAGAAGTAGTGAGGGATATCTGCTATTTTGTCTAGACAAAAGAGAGGATTAAAACAACATCCTCTATTCTCTGCATGTTCCCAGTTCCTTTTCCAGTAAACACTGTAGATTTAGTGGTTGAAATGAATAGAATTCTTCAAATTTGTTTGCAGATGCACTGATAACTATGTTACATTCTTCAGAAAATCCTCAAATGTTACAGAGAGGGAAATTATACCGTTCATATTATGAAAGATTAAGGCTGTATTCAACATTTTGCTTGGCAAACTGTTTTTGTTAATAGTCTGTTAGCTATCTTTTTGCAGCCTAATTGTGTACTCTGAAGGAAAAGCTTTTGCACCTTGCAAGAGTATTTGAAGAGAGAAAATTATTAGGCTTTTTCAATATTAACAATCATTTGGTCTGGAATACTACAAAGATCTGATAGGAATGATCACAGTTTAGATTACTACAAGAACTCTTGTAAGCTATTTATCCTAACAAATTAAGTGCCTAACATTTCCTGGGTAATATTTTATCATCTTCAGCTGATTAAGTTCTGAAAAGCCAAGTCAAAGTTAGTATTTTTCTACTTTTCACCGGATCCCTTTCCCAAAACATAAGAATTTCTACATTTTTTCCCAGAAATTTCAATTTTCTTACATTTAAAAACCCTGATTTCAAAAATGTACTGCTAACGGTACACAACTCTCATTTCAGAAACAAAGGCAAAATGGACATGCAAAGTTAACTAAACCTGGCCTACCTGGAAATTAAACTACATTTCAGAATGTTGTGCTTCCAATTGATCATAAACTTGGCTTGATAAGAACTTCAAATTTTAAATAGTATAATTGATTTTAAAGCTGTACCAATTCCACCCTACATTCAGAAAAGTGGATAACTGGTTGTTGAATTTGATTGTTGCTTGGTTTAACTTCTTAGATTCCTTCCAAAGTCTTTGCCACAAAATATTGTAAAAAACAAAGTTGAATACCCAGCATCCATGATTTTAAATTTCTCATATTAAATGCTGTGCAAACCTGGAGTCCCAGATTTTGTAGGATCAATTTCTATTATTCAGGACAGTAGCCATGCTGGTTGGGTATCGACAACATCTGGAAAGTTACTGGTATGAAGACTGAAGGCCATTTTTACACAGCCTCTTTAAACTCTAGATTAATAAGAGTTCTCCTTGTGTGAATAAACTAAAAAACAGAAAACTCCATCCTGCTTCTCTTGAGAAAGAGAAGTGTCAAATTCTGAATCCTTGATTCATTAATAATTTATATTTTAACAAGAAAGGTGAACAATATTTCAAATTCAAAATATGTCTTAAGTTCAAATGGCTTGTTCTGATTTATGGAAGTTTCCCAGGCTGATCTGGCTATCCTGGAAGTGTCTTGGATTCAAAATGGGACTGTTTCAAGTTTAGAACACCACAGAATAGTCAAAACAGCATTGGAATATTTCTGGAACTGGCTGGAACAGTTCTCTTAAACTAAAAATCATTTCAAACTCAGAATGGAAGATGTTGAGCTCAAAACACTTAATGCACCAATACTTTCTTAAAATAAGTTAACTAGAGGTTATATTCTCATGAACTAAACTGAAAAGCTTGGCTAGTATTACTATACAATCTATTGCTGGCTCAGGAATTCTGGGAGTTGAAGTCCACGAGTCATAAAAGAACCAAGGTTGCCTACCCCTGATCTATTGTCATATTATTCCACCTTGGACAGCTCTTAAGTGTTATGCAAAACAGATATCCTTTGGATTTCAGAAACCAGAATTTCTAACTTAAAATAAACCTTGACTATAAAAGTTGTATTAGTGAAGAAGTTAGTTGAAATTTTGTCGGAGGGCGCTTTTTAAATAATAATAATAATAATAGTATTTTAGATGTTAACTTGGAGCTCTAGCCAAAGGAACTTAGCCATAATAAAACAATATTGTTATCAATTGCTTTTTTTTCTGTGTACATGAGATTTCTTTGTAATGAATGCATTCTGAAAAAAAATAAATTTAAACTGTTAATATGTATACAAAGTATTCAGCTTGTACTGTATATTTTATTTTGCAAGTTTTCTGTGACTTTTTTCTTTCATACAGTTTGTTTTCTGCATCCATGTAGGTAATCCTTGACTTAACAATCAATTGTTTAGTGACCATTTGATGTTACAATGGCACTGAAAAACCTATGGACTTATGACCATTTTTCACAATTACGACCACTGCAGCATCCCCATGGTCACATGATCAAAACTCAAACGCTTGGCAACTGGCATGTATTTATGAAAGTTGTAGAGTCCCAGGATCATATAGTCATCTTTTGCAATCTTTGACAAGCAGAGGCAATGGGGAAGCCAGATTCACTTACCAACGGTGTTATTAACAACTTCAATGATTCACTTAACAACTATGGCAAGAAAAGTCATAAAATGGGGCAAAACTCACTCAACAATTGTTTTGCTTAGCAATGGGAATTTTGGGCTTGGTTCTGGTCATGAGTCAAGCACTACCCATATTTGTTTCAGCCATAGAGCATGTCTTTGTTTTCAAAAGGCTGTGGAAGCTGAAATTCAATGTGTGTATATGGTCCCTTTAGCCTGCTATGTATTTGCTGTAATCCCTCTGGCTAGATTTATCTGCATTAATATGTTATATCAAATGTATTTTCCTGCAATGTATATAGAAATGTACATTCCTTTTATCTTCTTCTAACTTTATATTTTAATGTGCACATTTACCAGCAGTGTCTTATATAAATGTTACTATACAGTTTATTTTTTTGTGTGTGATTTTTCACAGTGCATAAAGTGAAAATTTAAAAATGAAGTTTATAGACAGCAAAAAGAAAGTGTTTTTATTTATTTGGCCTACTTCTGTTTTTTAAAAAAACTTTTAAGAATGTTCTCAATTTTCATAGAAATGCATAGTGCATAAACATTAAGTGCCTTGTTTGCCATGTTCAACTCAAATGAAGGGGCACATATTCTGCATTCTACATTAATATTGCTATAGTCACATGTTATATGATCATAATCGCTTTTGCCTAAATACGACCTGTAAATCCCAGCATGTGCTCTATATTATGATCTGCAACTTAATGGGTTTTGTGAATTCAGCCAACTGTATTGTTTGATAAATTACACTAAAACTGTATGTGTATGTGTCAAAGTGACTAAGGGAGGGGAACAGTTTGAATTTTCACTAAAATTACTCCTTTGTCATCAGCCTAATACTTAACACCAAGAAATAATTTCACCACTACTAATTTGCACGAAAGGCATTGCTTCCTGGTATCAGATATGGACCACTGAGTCTTGGGGCTATTTTTTTTAGATTTTTTTTTATTCTACCTTTATTATTTTATAAGTAACTCAAGATGGCAACACTTGATAATACTCCTTTCTCCTATTTTGCCCATAATAACAACCCTTTGAGGTGAGTTTGGCTGAAAGAGAGTGACTGGCCCAAAACCATCCATTTGGCTTTCGCATGGCCATTCACAGTAAACCACAAAACAAAGTAGGATGTTCAATTACACATACATATTCTATTTACTGCATTCCATTCAGAAATAGTACAAGTGACATGTCAGGCAGAGAAGAACACTGGTGAAATGAGAGGAACTGTTCTTAATGCCACAATCTTGTTTTTCATCTTGCTTCATCCTGCACCTGGCACCTGACACTCAGAAAAGTTCTGGAGCACTCTTTCTAAAAAGGTGTTTATTGATTTATTTATTAAGTTATATGCTGTCTATTTCATTATCGAAAGTAACTCTTGGTGAAGAAAGAATGGAATGGAACAACAGAGAAGAGAAAAGAGAAGAGAAGATAACCTTTACTGTCATTTTTTTACTGTGGGCACAACGGCACACATCAAAAATGAAATTTAGTTGCCCACTCTCAAAGTGAACATATACATGACACACCTAAACATACTATATACAGCATATGTATAGACCCACACTCCTACATATACATAACAAATTATTAAACGCTGTCCATCTTAAATATATAACGGAAGGAGGAAGCTTGAGAGTTATTAGGTTAATGCTGTATGGAATGAAACTATGGCTGAATCTGGATGTTCTGCGAAGCCTCCTCCCAGAAGGTAACAAGGAAAATAGGTGTAGGTGTAGTGTCCCCAAATAGGGACACTGCTCAAGCGATGCTTCTGTGCTATGTCCTGGATGGGAGGGAGGGAACTGCCAATGATCTTTTTGGCCATCCTCACCACTCTCTGCACCGCCTTCCTGTCTAAGGCAGTGATGCTTCCCAACCAGACTGTGATGCTGTATGACAGGATGCTCTCGATTGTCTCCCTGTAGAATAAGAATAGAATAGAATAGAATAGAATAGAATAGAATAGAATAGAATAGAATAGAATAGAATAGAAAATGGATATGAAAAACTGGTAAACAGAATATGATAAACTGGTGTTCAGAAATAACCTAATTCCTAAGCTAATGTTTAGAAATAGCCTCATAATTATTTTCAAAAGTGGTGTTATTATTTAAGCTCCTATTACAGGGGTCTTCAAACCTGACCGTTTTATGACTTGTGGACTTCAACTCCCAGAATTCCTCAGCCAGGCACGCTGGTTGAAGAATTCTGGGAGTTGAAGTCCACATAAAACGGCCAAGTTTGAAGACCCCTGTCCTATTAGCTTCTCTTTCAACCAATATAGTATACCATGTCATCTGTATGTTGATAGCAGCTTAGAAGACGATTTAGTGTGCAATCATTCCAAAGGCATTTGTTGATAATGAGTTTTCTATCATATCTAAAATGACAAGAGAGCAATAGAGATTTTGAAAATGGCACTTTTTATTGTTTCTGTGTTCTGAAAATGCTATCACTATTTGTCTGTGTAATCAAAACGAAACATTTTTTCTTCTTCCTCAAGGAAAAAAACAGTCCAGTTTGAAAAAGCACCTTTGAGAATATCATTGCTTATTTATGAGGCTGATTAGGTATTAACAAGTCTCTTCCTTTTTTGGAAAATGTTAATATATTACACTAGTTTTGGTGGCATAAAAATGGCCAGCTTTGATCTACTGATTTTCCTCCAATCGCAAAGGAGGAAGGTTTTGCTTATGTCTGGAATCTCTTATTTCCTACTGACAAAGTGATATGTTCAACTTCCCCTAATTTTCACTGCCAAACCATTTAATTCTCCCGAGATTTCTGAGGAACCTTACCATAACCAACAAACTCTAAAGGATTTGAATAAACCACTGACATGCTATTACAATTGCCAAAAATATTTTTGGATTAAATCAGAACCCCCCCCCCCCCAAGTAGAGTTCCATTGGTCAAAGGTTCCATGTTCACATATTATCTTGTATTTTAAAACTTTAAAAGAAGGAATAATTGTTATACTCTTCATGGATATGGTATCATTATATACTGTAGTCAACAGGTAGCCAAAGAGGTGCAGTAGCTCAATGGCTTAATGATGCTGAAGGTGATTCAGTGGTTCAAGTCCTAGCACTGCATGTCAGGGTGAGCTCCTGTCACTCATCTCAGCTTCTGTCCAGCTAATAGTTCAAAAGCATGATCTATGCAAATAGATAGATAGGTATCACTTCGATGGGGTAGCGGGTTAGTGCTCTGTGCAGGCAATCAGATTCCTGCTGGTTCTGAATCTTCCTGGTTGCAGTGCCTGTTTATGAGGTGGCTCCAGAGAAGGGATGCAATATACCGGTACATCCTTTTTCAAAGAGGCAACATACATACAAGGAAACAGAAGCTCAGATCAGTACAACTGCATAAGCCAATATAACTTTGAAGCCCCCATTATGTAGAAGGTGATAGAACTCTGTGCAGTTAATATCAGTGTTCGGCAGTTTGCTGGTGATTAATATTTAAATACCAAAATCATTCCACATCAACATCTTGGCATCTATCTCTACATTAATCATTGAACATTTCTGAAGACTGAATAACACTCTTTATAACTTAGTAACCAACTAAATGATTATCCTTATTTTTCCTTCATGTGCAACCATTGGAGGAAAGTACAATATGTCTGAAAACATCCATCTGGGCAGCAATAAGTAAAGGTAAGCCTTGAATGAAAACTAGTTAGAATAACTGATTATCAGCCTCCTTCATAAAATCTATTATTGATCCATATTATCTATGCTAGCCTTCTCATGCGGATATTATTGGTCAAATTGGCTGGAAGATAATGGAATTTCCAAGTTCAAGACACTACCAAGAAGCTACCAAGTTGGGCATGGATGATGTACTAAAAGTATCTTTTCCAGGATTATGAATAATGGTCACTGCAACTCTAATATCTGTTTATGACTCAAGTTTAGCATTTACTTCGCAAAGTATAATACTGATTTTTTTTTTTAAAAAGCAATATATTGATTCTTCTATTTGAAATCCGATAGGATGAAACTCTGGATTCTTTTTCTGGCTGTTGCAGTCAGCACAGAAGAAATGCCAAGGCCAGACATCTGTGTGGAAAGATTTCCTGGAATTCCTGGGAGCCCTGGACACAATGGCTTACCAGGACGAGATGGACGAGACGGAACAAAGGGCGAAAAAGGAGACACAGGTATCATAATTGCTTTATTGCAATGAACTGTATGTTCAGCAATGTTTCTGAAGCATGCATAAAAACATATTCTCAATAATAAATACTCCGATCTTTGTTCAAAGCTGTAATAGTCAATCTGCAGCCTGACTGTTGACTTCTGAAGGTCATACCAAATAGTTAATGAAAATGTTATAAAAATGTGGCCCATCATTTACATCAAGAGAAAGCTACATTTGTTTTCAAATGATGAATATGCATTTGGAAGGAAAGAACGAAGAATGATTGGGTCTGACTGAAATCTGCAGCATTTTCCCTGTCATAACAGCAGAATCATCCAGGTGATAAAACCAACAATCCCTATCTAACAGATTGATAAATGTCAACCAAATTTTAATGTCACAACTTTACAAGGAGTAAAGGTCCATCATATGTAATGTACTGAATATGCATACTAGAGCTATAGTACTGCCATTCAAGGCATTGGCTCATTGACAAAAGCAGATGCCTCATTGACACAGAGTCACTGCCAGTGACAAAATTAAGCATATATGCATGTTAAATACTACCCAAGGAGAAAATGGCCTGATTCAGGTATCATGCTAAGCCATGGTTTGTTTAACTATGTTTTATCATTACCTAAGTTCACATTACACGCTAAACATTATTAATTCAATTTGTTAGAGTTCTATTCTGCTTTTCCTCTAGGAACTTAGAATAGTATATCTGGTATTCTTTAATTATGCCATACAATACCCTTTTAAGATAGGCTGTGTTGTCACCCAGTAAATATCCACTGATGGGTCTCACAAATCTTAGCCCAATATTTCATCCTTTGTATCATACTGATACTCATTCTATCGTGAAGAAAGTACAATACCTTAGAAAACATAACACATTAAATCCAAACCAAATCATCTTGTTATGGCTTTAGCCAGATTGAAACACAAGATAGTAAGCGTTGTCTGTTTCTTTTATTCATTTTGTCATTTAATCATTGATGTCTGCCCTGCTACAAAGACGAAAGAAATCAATTCCACAGGAATTCTAGGACTATACTTTATAGAGAGAACTATAATAGCAAAATCTTGCACGCCTGATTGTGCTGTAGCTCCTCCTTTTCCTTATACTCCAGTGAATTACGAAGGTGTCTGTTTGAAATTCTGAATGTTATTTCATTTATATGAACAAATATTATCGTTTGCTACTATTAGGTGACCCAGGAAATCCAGGAAAGTCAGGCCGAGATGGCATCAATGGAAATAAGGGAGAACAAGGTAGGAACCAAAGCTGGCCTGATCCAGAATATGAGGATATGCTTATTAATTGGTAATCTTCTGCTGACCATAATACATACAATAACCTGTGCTTTGTTTCAGGAAAACAAAGAGGGTAGTTGTTGATTAAATAGCCATATAATAATTCATTTTCATGTAAAGTATTTATTATAACCTCATGGACAAATTATATAAGATGCAATTTTAAAATCCTGTCAAGTGAGCAGCAATATTCCCAAAACAACTGACAACCATCATGTATGTTTACAAAATTTTGTAAAAAGCCAGAAAAATGGGACCTGTCAGCCTTCCCTAGTCTGATGTCCTCCAGAAATGGTCAATTTAGGCAGGAACCAGATTGAGGAAAGCTGATGAGGCTCCTAAGTTTCTCACTGTGTGAAGAAAATGCAACGCATCAGTTTCGGTGTGATGTCTTACCACTGCAAGGTTGGAAGGCTTAGCATGCAGCGTTGATCAAGACTTTTTGTTCCAGTTTGCCCATTCTAACACAGCACCTTTCATGAGAGCATATTTGATCTCCTAACAGCATTGTGATGTTCCTGCTTAATTCTGTACTCTTCTACTGGTGGTGTCTTCAGCACATAATTTCATTTTGGATATCATGGACCAAGGGTACAGTTGTTCAGTGCTTTAGATTTAGTTCTAGAAAAGCACTTTTATGCTTACAGAAGCAAGAACTTGTCACCTGTCTCAAACTCTTTAAAACAGTATATACATACTGTATTTCTGTTAAGCCATAACATTACATTAAGCACAGCCACTGTGAAAACAGATTACATCATTTTTTGCCATTTGACCTTAGGTTGGAGTACAAAACGTAACTTGGTCAAGAGCCTGGATATGATTTCTGGCCAGCTCCAGCAGGCCTAATGATGTTAAGAAGTTTTAGAAGAAGAAAAAAAAACCACACTTTCTGGAGGAAGACTCCAAAGACCCCAATTTTCCAAACTTGTTCATTCTGATATAATCTGAGACTCTCTCATTTCATGTTTGCCTGGGGGAACCTAGTGTCCTCTTCTGTTTTTTCCTTCTTCTCCTGAAAAATCAAAGGTAGTCTCACCTCATCTGCTCTTGGTTTTGTGTTAGATAATACAGAAATAATAAATGTTTCTTCCCGTTATCTTGGATTTATACTTTCATCCCTCAGATGACAGATGTTTTCACAACTCTGTAAAAGATTAACTGCAAGGTCTTTCCTTTTCATTTAGGGGCTGACGGCAGAGTTGAAGAAAAAGGGAACAAAGGTGATAAAGGAGAGCGAGGCTGGCCTGGGAAATTTGGGCCAAAAGGAATTCCTGGACCGGTAGGGGACAAAGGTCATCAGGGGGAGCTAGGACCACAAGGAAGGAAAGGGATAAAAGGGGACCTTGGGCCAATTGGCCCCAAAGGAAATAAAGGTGAAATTGGAATTCAAGGTGAAATAGGATTAAGGGGACCTGTGGGTCCAAAAGGCTACGTGGGTCCTAAAGGAGAGATAGGAGGCCCCGGACCAAAAGGCAGTAAAGGCAATCAGGGAGAAAGGGGTTGGAAGGGAGAACGGGGAGAAAAAGGAAATCTTGGCAGTACCCCAGTTATTGGCAAAAGTGCTTTCAGCGTAGGCCTCACCGCTAAATTTCCTCCACTCAATGTTCCCATCAGATTTGATAAAGTCTTATACAACAGCTTCGACCATTATAGCACAGAAACTGGAGTGTTCACCTGCCAAATCCCTGGGGTCTATTATTTTACCTACCACATCACTGTTTTTTCAAGGAATATGAGAGTAGCTCTAGTTAAAAACGAGCACAGGATGCTCCACACTGCAGATATGTACCAAGGGGTCGAAGACCAGGCCTCTGGAGGAATCGTCCTGGAACTTCAGAAAGGGGATCGGATATGGCTGCAGTGTTATGGAGGAGAGACTTATAACGGATTGTATGCAGATCCAGATGATGACACTGTCTTCAGTGGCTTTCTTCTATTCGGTACCTCAGAAGCACCAGCATCTGTGCCCTCCAGCATATAAGCTGATTGCTTGGTTTTCAATATGTCACTTATATGACACAGGTTAGTTTTCACATGAAGTTTCCATCAAAATTCATGAAGCCAAATCAAGAACTCCCAGGCATTTTTTTTGCAGAATGATGTTGAATACCACGTGCATTACTTTGTTTATATGGTCCCTAAATTCTAATATCTTACATAATTCTTTAAATCACAAGATAGAAAAATTATCTTGTCCTTGTTGTTATTGTTTTAATCAAGTAAACTTGTTTTAACTTCGTACAAAAATATTTTAGACTAATTAATAAAATCACAAAATCCACTATTATATATTTATGCCTAAATATGTTTAAATAAAGAAAAAAAAAATTCAACAAATTTTGTTGAACAAATAATCTTGGGTTTCTTTTATTTTTCATTCCTACTGTCCTCAGTCCTCAGTTGTAGACTTTAAAACAAGTGATTCCTTGATCACACATTGCATTAAATCATGATTTTAACCATACTTTCCTGAGTATATTAGAAAAAGCCAGGGTCTGTATTGCAGAAAAGAGAAATAATTATGCCTTGCCTGGAAAAAAAAATCTGAATTATTTAAATTTTTACTTACTATTGCCCTGGAGTTTTGTGATTACTTAGGATCTGAAAAAGGCAAAAAACAAAATCAGAAATAAATCAGGAAATAAAAAGCAAAAAGGTGATTAGAATGTTGATTCTGGAAAGTTTTTAAACAGGTAAGAGGACAGATTCACTGGAAATGAGACTTTGAAAAAATTGTAAAAATACTTACTGTAGTTTAAAATTTTTATTAAAAATATATGAAGATTTTGAGTTTAAGTGTAAGAAATATCTTCCTGTGAAAATGTTCTGGTGAGAAAAAAATATAATAAGAGACCTTAAAGGCTACAGGTAGTCCTCAACTTACCTCAACTGAGCCCAACATTTCTGTTGTTAAGCAAAACATTTGTTGAGTTTTACTCCATTTTATGACCTTTCTTGCGTCAGTTGTTAAGCGAATCACCGCAGTTGTTAAGTTAGTTGCTAAGTGAATCTTGTTTTCCCATTGACTTTGCTTGTCAGAAAGTTGCAAAAAGGTGATCACATGACCCCAGGACATGCAACCGTCATAAATATGAGTCAGCTGCCAAGTGTCTGAATTTTGATCAGGTGACCATGAGGATGTTGCAATGGTCGTATGTGTGAAAAATGGTCATAAGCCATTTTTTTCAATGCCATTTTAAACAGTCACTAAATGAACTGTTGTTAAGTCGAGGACTACTGTATTTACTAGAGGCAACCAGAAAGAATTAAAGATTATAATTAAAGCAGAAGACCTACTAATAAAGAATAGAGAATTTAAGGATATTTGGCACAATGCATCCAGAACTTTCTCTTTAGAATGTCTGACAGTATAAAAATGGGCTTAAAAGAAGAGATAGAATATAATTGAAATTCATCTTTCAAAGATTTTGAAGATTTGTTTATAAATATAAGACATGGAATCTCTTTTTTTGTATTTTTAGAGAAAATGACAAGATCCTGTATAAAGGAAAAGGAAGAAAGATAAAATTGATTTACTTGTTTAAAGTTAAATAGTTATTTTTTATTGGACTTTTGCTGATTAAGATTAAAAGATGAAGCTGCTTTATTATGGTTGTTGTTCTTGTTATTATTATTATTATTCCTGATAGACTGGAAAAGAAGAAAAAATTCTCCCAGAACAAAAAGATGGAAAACCAAATCTGTGTTGTAAAAGAAAATAGTACAGGTGTGTCCAGGTAGCAGCCAAAGTCTCATGAGACTTGGGAAAACTACATTTTATCTGCTGGAGAAAAAACAAACTACTATCAATAGCTGTTGCTGGTGTTAGGTAGTTGAAGACCAAGTACCAGTAGTACTTGACTTACAACCACAATTGATCCCAAAATTTCTGTTGTTAAGTGAGACATTTGTTTAAGTGAGTTTTACCCCATTTTACGACCTTTCTTGCCACAGTTGTTAAGTGAAACACTGCAGCTGATAAGTTTGTAACCCGGTTGTTAAGTGAATCTGGCAGCCCCATTGACTTTGCTTGTCAGAAGGTCACAAAAAGGGATCACATGACCTTGGGACACAGCAACCGTCATAAATATGAAGCAGTTGCCAAGCATCTGAATTTTGATCACATGATCATGGGTTGCAAAGGTTGTGAATAACCATCATAAATCATATTTTTCAGTGCCATTGTAAGTTTGGTCACTAAACAAACTGTTGTATGTCGAGGACTACCTGTATCTTCTAAAAAAATTATAATAATCACCCGGCCTTGCCGCAAATAGCGCACTCCTCTGCAGCGTTCTGCATTTGCTACTACTTGGCTGGGGAATTCTGGGAGTTGAAGTTCCTACTGTAGGTGCCTTAACGAGCACGCGAGGCAGAGCAAAACCGCTGGAGGGCGGGGAAAAGCGGGTTGCACCGAGGCTCTTTCTCACGGCCGGGCCGCGGAAGAGGCCGTCCCGGCGATCCGGAACCGCTTGGCCGTTTTGGAGGCGGTGCGTCTCTCCGAGGCGAGCGGTCCCCTGGCTACCATGTGGGCTGGATGGCACCGAGTGGCGCGCAGGACCTCGGGCTGCTTGAAGCAAGCGAGGCTGGGCCGGCTCGGCGGCGGCGGCGGCGGCACGAAGAAATGGGTCAGCACCAGCTGGTCCCCGGTGGGCGCCGCCTTCAATGCCCAACAGCAGCGGCTGGCAGTGGGGCAGAAAACGGTGAGAGGCGGGCTTGGAGTGAGATGGGGGCGGAAACGGCCAGAAAATCCTTGGCTTTTATATTGGAAGAGACTCAGCAGCTTTCTTCCATATGAGCTGGATTACAGCTTCCGTAACCCTTTGCCACATCCCTGCCATGGCGGGGGATTGTGTATGTGGGGGATGCTGCGTTCAGAGAGGCGGAACGGGACGTTGTTGTTGTTGTTGTTGCTGTATTAGAGAGCTGGAAGAGCACGTTATTATTTATTGTTTTTTTCAGCCAGATATTTAGACTGGATTTGACTGGTTGGACTAGATGACCTCCAAGGCCCCTTCCAACTACTACTACTACTACTACTACTACTACTACTACTACTACTACTACTACTTCTTCTTCTTCTTCTTCTTCTTCTTCTTCTTCTTCTTCTTCTTCTTCTTCTTCTTCTTCTTCTTCTTCTTCTTCTTCTTCTTCTTCTCCTTCTTCTCCTTCTCCACCTATTCCCAAGGATTTAGGATAGGCAGATGTTGTTTAATGGTTACTATTATAAAAGTTGGGAATACTGTGTTCAAAACATTGGAAAGGGGCATTTAATTATTGTTACGATTCCTCGCAGAGGAATTCCTCAGAGGTTCAGGCTGGATTTGGCATTTTTTGTCTACCTATCAAGTCCTTTCCAGGGACCTGAGACAGGCAGATGTGCATGTTTGTTATTATTTTAGTGCTTTTGAATTAATATTGATTTTTGATAACTCTGAACTGTTATTATTATCCGTATATTGTGAGGTGGGTTCTGAGAGAGTATGACTTTATCGAAGAATGAAGTAAGATTGGTTTGGCATGATCTGTTTTTAACAAACCCGTACTGGCTACTAGTTATAACTTTATTTGCTTCTAGTTGTTCACAAAACTATTTTTTGATTATCTTTTCCAGGATCTTCCCAGGTATTGATGTTAGACTGTCTGTAGTTTCCTGAGTCTGTTTTTTTCCCCCCTTTCTTGAAGATGGGAACCACATCAGCCCTTTTCCAATCCTTGGGTATTTCCCTGGTGCTCCAGGATTTTTGAAAGATGTGGTGCAGTGGTTCTGAGATAACATCTGCCAGCTCCTTCAGAACTCTATGTAATCTATCAGGTCCTGGTGATTTATACTCAGATAGGTGTTCTCTTACCATTTTCTTGCTTATTTTAATTTTTGTTTCTAATTTGTCTTTTGCAATGGATTTTTGGTATATTGACATTCAATTGAGCATAAATCTGTATTGGCTTGTATTTCAACACTCCAGACATGATAGAGTCTTATCATTTTGACCTTTGGATTGGGGTTATGAGGACTAGTTTTCCTGGAAAAGATTTATGTGAAGTTTACTGGAATTCTCCAAATTAACAAACTCTAATTTTCCAGAATTAGATGCTGAAAAAGTAATTTAGGCTCCAAATCAAAATTGATTGAGAACTCAGGAAAATGTGCAAAGGAGTTGCATTTAATGTAATTATGATTTTGATTCATATTACTGTAAAGCTTATTTATCTGGCAAAATTACATTTTGGTTCACCATATTCAATTATTGTAGATTAGAATATTACATTAAAAATATATATGTTGGTAAAATTCTTTTCTATGTTTTAGGGTCTGTTTGGTGTAGCTGAACTTAATTGTCCAGAAGGATTTCAAGAAGCTCAAAAAAACTCATTGCAAGAAGCAGAACGATTGGTCCAAAAAGCATGCATTACACCTCCTGGGAAAGAGATTGTGTTGGTTTTTGATCAGCTCTCTGATGCTTTATGTAGAGTAGCAGATCTGGTAAGACAATACTATATCTTTGAAATTGTGATTTGTTAATTCATTGACACTGCTATATTTCTAGGTTAATTTGAATTCTGTAATTTTCTGAAATGTAATATGAATTATAATTATAAATTAGTGTACAAACCTATGCTTCTATGGAAGGTTTCATTCATTTTTTTTGTATGTAATCAAATTACCTCAGTGTAGTTCTTGCACAGCGGTCATTCACGTGTTTTCAGTCCAGTTTTGTTCAGCACCCATCTATTCTTGATCATCCTGATTTACCACACATAGTCCTTAAATATACCATTCCCACTGTATTTACTTATTTTAAACATACTTTTGTTTTTCTTTACATATCTTTCATATAGTGGATCAATCAGCAGACTGCTCTTCTACACAGTCTGAAACATTTGTTCTATGTTGCATATTGTTTGCTCTGCTATCTTTTAATCAACATTACCAAGGGGACATAATATATCCTTCTCTTATTTTCTTCTTAGTTCTGAATC